CTTACGATTACAAATGCATGAAAAAGTGTGGACTAGTACCAGCTGTCTCTGTGCTTTTCATTGCACAATTTGGACACTGCTGTGTGTTTTTTAAGGATATCTTAAAAGTGGTTCAGTTAATCAAATATAATTATTGCTTATTTAGATGACATTTTTGAGTCAGCCACTGCTTCATCTTGCCTCATTACATTTTGGGGCGATGAGAGGGATGACATACTGTCTGTACTCCCCACTGCTACCTCTTGCCCTAAACAGTGCTTATTTATTTGATTCTCCATTTGCACAATGCATAGCGTTTGTATTCTCCATTTGTCACTTGCACAGATTGAAGTGCAAAGTGTCATATAATACGGGACAACCGGAAGGGTTGAGGGTTTGGCAGATTGGAAGCCGAAACTGTCAGGTAGCATCAGCTGTCATGTAGCATCAGCTGTCATGTAGCATCAGCTGTCAGGTAGCATCAGCTGTCAGGTAGCATCCGCTGTCAGGTAGCATCAGCTGTCAGGTAGCATCAGCTGACATAGCATCAGCTATCAGGTAGCATCAGCTGTCAGGTAGCATCAGCTGCTCAGGCTGCAACACAATCAGGGGGCCCCAAGAGTGGTTCCAACACATGTTTCCAGGGCTGATCTGTCCCAAAGCGTGGCCAGCAGAGATATGTTTTTGATAGGGACTTAAAAGTTTGAACTGAGTCTGCAATTCTAAGCCAGATTGACAGCTCATTCCATAATATAGGAGCTCTAGGAGAAAGCTCTACCTCCAGCTGTTTGTTTTAGGTACAATTAGAAGGCCAGCATCTTTTGATCTGAGGTTACACGTTGGTATGTATGGCTGGAATAATTCAGCGAGGTAGATTGGAGCAAGTTCATGTAAAGCTTTATACGTTGATAATAGAATAAAAAAAATGTAAAGAGGCAAATACCAGGGAAATGTCGTCAAATTTCTTTGTTATACTTAACATTCTAGCAGACGTATTAAGTACTAATTGAAGTTTGTTGATTGATTTATCAGGGTAACCAGAGAATAGAACATTGCAGTAGTCTAATCTTGAGGTAACAAAAGCATGCATACATTGTTCTGCATCATTATTTAATAAATAGCTTCTGATCTTTGCAATATTCCGAAGATAGAAAATTGCGAGAGATTTGGTTCGAGTGTCACGCCAAGGTTTCTCACAGTTTTTTTGTGAGAACCATACATCCGCTTAAGTTTAACGTGAGATTTTTCAACAAGTCTCTTTGTTTCTTAGGTCCTAAAACTAGCATTTCAACTTTATCTGAACATAAGAGCAGAAAGTTCTGCCTTGCATAGTATTTTACTGGCCTTCTTTTACTGCCCTGCATTGTATTTGACTGCAATGCATAGTCTTGTTGCAACTTTTGCTTAGATGCGAGCTGCATTTGGTTGGACTGTACTGTCCAATCACAATAAAGTTGAATCTAATCCAATGTGCAATTCTAATTTCTGGCGGTTGATGGTTGCATATCAACTCTCATTGTCTGTCAAAGAAACGTTGATTGCGGTCTCCAGTCGGACAACACTGCTACAGAGCAATGGCTCAAAGCAACCACAATGGCCTCCTAAACCTGCCAAACACAGGCCAGGTGTTGTAAAATATCCAACCAAAATCGTATAGTAAATAAAAGGAACCAGATAAAGACTGAAAATAGTTGCATTTAGAAAAAAAGCCATAGTGAATGTTTAAACCCTAACTTGATTGAGATGTTGAGCACATCAGAACAAATAACATACCATAACAAACTATCCTTGCACATAAAATCTAAATATGTCATAGTAACCTATTATAGTCGTTTTAAATATGCATTAGATACAAGGTTATTAACTGGAGTTAAGTTGACTTTTAAACATGTGACATTGACCATTAAACAAAAAGCTGTGTGTACAGTAATGAGGGTTTTATTCCTTATTGACACATCCCATTATCAATGGCTTCCTTATATTAGATAGGCTACATGACCTAGAAAAAAGGGTGTGACTAGTTAATCATTTCTATAGTTGACTCCTCCCTTTATAACAGTTTAGCTCAGGACAAACATATATGTGTCCTTCCATGTGTGTCTTTGGAATCAATGATATTCAATGGAAGCAGACATAAAATGGGCACACGTTTTACTTATGTTACAAGAAACCTATTATTGTATTGCATATTCTCAATGGATGTTCACTGTGTCACTATGACTGCATTCAACACATTAAATGCCACATACTACAGTATGTCAAGAACGACCCCTAATATTACACCTGTTATTGTCAGCAGACACTATAGGTCTATTTCAATAGTATCTGAATAGTGGCCCGATGGCAGAAATCTATAGAATTATAGCGTATAAGTCTAATATTCGTTACACGCCCAGTGTTACTGATATTCGTCATGCACAGTATAGGGATGTTGTCACACCAACGCGCTTCTCCCTCCCACCTTCCCTCCAACCTTCCCCCCCTCCCCTCCCTTCACCTGGCTGCCATGCCACGCCCCTCTGTGCTATGACACAGGTAAACCTGAATAGAGGCGAGCTTCCTCCTTGTCTCACCTTACCGGGTCAAACAAACGGGTTCCTTTGAAACTCCACCGCAAAACGAATTCAACCGGGCACCGACCGCGAATGATGGTCAGAAAAGAAACAAAGTGTTTGTGACCTCCCTATAATATCTGGACACACATGGAGCCCACCTACGGCGGTCTGGGGCGCTGCTCCTGTGCCTTTTGGCTGGCGGTGTCCTTCGACATATTCGGGCTGCTGGTGCTTCTGATCGGGGTCTTCGCCGACATATACTTCTATGACTTCCTAATATACGCCGGGGCCATCGTCATCTTCCTCAGCCTCATCTGGTGGGTGTTTTGGTACACCGGCAACATCGACGTCCCTCCGGAGGAGCTGGAGGACGACGTCGGGCTCCTGAAGAAGGAGCGCGGAATCACGGGTGCGGTGAGGCGACTGTCCAGTCGCTTGTCTAGCGGTATCAGGAACTCCCTGCGGCGGAACGGAGGCCCCCCCCGCGGGGTCGCCAGGAGGTCAGGGCCCGGGCCGTCATCGTCGGTGGCGGCGCACGCAAAGGATGCCCAGAGGCAACTGGAGCCTCCGCCTGTCGCATTTGCAATGGCCCCGAGTGACGAGGACCTGCAGACGGTTTCTGCTACCGTGGTGGACCGCGATATACCCGAGACCTCTGCCATATGATGCCCAACGCACATTTAGCCCACATTACGTTTTGTTATTGGACGTGACTTATTTGCATTACGTGCATGGTTTATATGCATAGATTATAGAAATTAATCGTTCAGTGCTATTGGCAGAATTGATTGTATGCTGCCGTTTTTATTTTTTTTTAAATTCCCCAAAACGTTCATGCATAATGCAGTCTGAAGTGTATTGTTAAATATAAAGTAGAGTTTGAGTGACTGAGGAATATAACAGTGGTCTAATGGAAACATGGTTCCCGTAAAGGCTATCAGTACAGTTAACCATTAACATGACTTAAGTGTTATGGCTACACTGCAGCAATAAAAGACAAGCCTTGTTCAAACAGAAAATATATTTTTGAGAAGGGGAAGCAGGCCTACCTGCTGCTATACCGAAAGCAAAAGAGGTATAGTTTGATCAGGTAATGTCTGTCTCCTGATTAATTTGGTACATCCATCAAACTCAGGCTATACCAGCCCATCAACATGCTATAGTTTGACAACTTGATCCAATCCTATCCTCTGTCAACAGACATTTTAAGTTTGGCATCAAACAAAACTGCACTGAACACCAGAAGCAAGTTAGACTTTTTAAATTGTTTGCACCTGCAAACAATTTAGACAAAAATCAAACATTCAGACAAAAATCAAACGATGCTCCTCAGTGAGGAGGTTTTTTTTTAAGTGTGGATTTCTGAATACTTTGCAGATAATTCAAGCAATAGGAAACTTTGTGATGATACTGACATTCAGTGATATCCATAGTCAGACATTTTTATATAAGATGTGGACATGAATGAATTGCGACGTTGACCTGGATTCTACGCCCAGAGTTGATAAGCATTGTAGAACATTCACAACCTTTGAACCTGTCTGTATTTTCTATATCTTCATTTTGTATGCCCGTATGGCTGTTTTATAATTGTGCTTTATGATTCTCAATGTTTAGACAGAACATTTACCTTTTGTGTTTTTTATACATTTCCTGATTTTTGTAAATCACTGTACTCAATGAAACCTTACAACGTAGGTTCAGATGTGAAATGACAACCCATTAATACATACAATTTATAAATTGTTCCAAGGTCATAAATAGTTATTATAATTCCAACCAGGATTTAACAAAGAATTCACCATTCGTAGGTGTAGCTTTTCAAGCATTGGTATTTTTCAAATTTAATTTACATGTTAACATTGTGTTGCCATGTCTTCATCTCAAACACAAATCTACAGAGCTAAATTAAATAAAAAGTAATTTAAAGTGGATTTACATTTTGATTTCATCTATACCTTGCATTAATCTAAGATTTAAAGCCGAAATAAATCAGACAAATTGATATCCAAGCAAACTATTGGTCTACGTTTTCAAGTGTTTGCCATTTGGTTGTGTTGTCCCCGGAATGCAATTTGTTATTATTTTGATGTATTTAGTCGATCTTAAACAAGTACCATATTAGAAGGTTAATGTAACTCACTTTTATTGGTATCATAGCACATCTGCCCCCTCATGGTTTTAGGTATAAGTAGTGTACAAAAGTTCTATAATTATATACCTGCATCCTAAACAACATGCATCTTGTATATTTGGTTGTGCTATTATGAAACACACAGGATTGTATAAAGAATAAACAATGTAAAAATTAAATATCAGGTCTGCAATAAACAACACAATGTTAAAATAAAATATCAGGCCTTGCATATCCATTTCAACTATAAGTTAGCTTTTAACAAATGCAGTAATATCCATTTATTTTATTAGAGTTTGACATTTGATTTAACCAGGTAGGCCGATTGAGAACAACAGCAACCTGGGGATTGAACCCAGGACATCATACATACAAAGCTTGTACTCTACCACTGAGCTATACCAACTCCTCCTGGAGGCAGCTAAAGCATAGTTCTTAAGACAGATGATTCTGAACCCTTCTCACATGGAGGTGAACTGACTCTGGTCTGTCTCTTTGGGTTTTCTTATCACTAGACTGAGGTGGACCACAGGGTAGTTAAAGCTCTGGAGGAAGGTATTTGGTATTACATTTACCATGTTTTACGAAAGTCAGCAAAACCTTTACTGGAGCTCTTTTTTTCAATGATGAAATAACTTTCAGACTGGTCTTGGTATGTCAACTATGATGGTGATAAGTAACTAGAAAGTGGATTAATCAACACACCTTGAATACACAGATTCATGATCTCACAGCCAAACAATGACTGAGACAGCTATGCACCGTACAAACACGTCTTTATATTTAGGTGTAAAACATTAAACATTTACAGAGAGACTCCTGATTGATTGGTTCCCTAAGGACCGTAATAGGACAAGTAAAACGCCAATGGAAGGGAAGTTTAGAGGTTCTTAGTTTACAGTGAATTGGTTGAATAATATTACTCAGATCCACAGGTACAACGGTTCAACATATTACCTCAAACAGGGTACTGGTTAACTGACCACTCTGGCAACTATAATAAAACATGACAAAACCGGGTAGCAGTTATGTTACACTGTATTAAAACTACAGGGTGGAAATGTGGTAATTGAACACATTTTTCAGCTTTTTCACATTGCATCAAGTTGGAGGGTGATAAGTAACCAGAAAGTGAATTACTCAATATTGTGGATTACAGCTTTTGTTTTGACAGTGGGGAAGTTTTTCTTTGACGAGTTAGATATTTGACTCAAATTTTAGAAGCTCTTTAACGAAACATTAAACAAATCCAATATAAGACTGCCACAATGCATGCTGAAACCGAAGTAATAACAGCTCAACTACAGAGGTAGACCCTATTTATCAACTTGAGATTCTTCCATAGAACCTAATTAATTAACATAGTTGGACAGAAGACACACTTTGACCAAATACTTTTATTCACTTTGAACTTGCCGAGTTAAGTCATTGATGCCTGAATAATCGTAGAATTTCATCCACCTTTTTTATCCCTTGTCATTTGTTCCTAAGGTCTTACATTCTGTCACTAGCTTGTTACTGCCCTCTTGTGGGGCAGTAACAAACTGTAGGCTATCGTATATGTTATCTTTACTAGTGCCAATAGTGTCACTGGGGAACTAGCATGGTGTTGAAGCGATTTGTGTTCGTCTAACATGCACATGAAATCTGGTTTTGTCTTCGTGAACATTACACATTTGTGAAGTCATTACAATAACCTGCCTAGCTGTAGAAATTCCCCTCTAGAACACAATTAATCCTTACACCAACAGGTATACAGCGTGACTTAACGTAACACATACACAAGCAGGAACCTTCACATGTTGCCATTGAACGTACTGTTAATAAAACAGCATATATACTGGAAAATGTTTGTGAACCATGATTTCATGTAATCGCCACATTTACCTCAAGCAAAAGTTCTAACAGTTCAGATCTACACAACGACTAGGAGGCATTCTGGACACTTCCTCCTTTCAGCCCATTGGTATTCCTGTGGCGTCTTGCATGAAAGGCTTGCTCTAAGTGGTGCCACGTCATTTCAATAGAGTCGAGGTCTGAACTGGCCATTGCCAGATTCAGGACATTGAATTATAGGTTCTTTTAGAATAGCACTGTATAGGATCTTTGTTTAGAAGGCTCAATTTAAACAATAACACGACTTGTCTCTCCTCGTCCCTTCTTGAACGAGACCTGAATACTATCAGCTAGTCCTGGATGGTGGCGCGGAGTACCGTGAGTGTATAGAGCGAGTTTGACACTACAACTCAACGCAAACTAACATGACTGTCGGGAAAGTTTAGATGCTTACATCTTATTTGACCAATGACTTAAAACGTTAACTGCTGATGTCTTTTCGTTTTTTATGGTTGTTTTTATGCTTGTAGTGCAGAAAAAAAATATTTATTGAAAGCTATCTCACACTAAAGGCGCAGGTAGACATCCAGGTACTTCTCATCTCACCAGGGTTTGTGCACTGTTAGAAAAGCCCCATGGATGAGAAAACCTGCAATGTGTCTGAAACGCTGCAGCCTGGCTGGAGTTGTACCTTTCCGTGTTTCCCATATCACCCTGGTCCTCTGCCCGCTCCATTGGCATGCTGTTGAGCCTCACATCCATTACCAAACCAGGCCCCATGGCGACAGGATAATGAGCCTGCCTTGGTTCTGCCACCTCTGGCCACTTGGCTGTACCCTTCACTTACTATTTGTTAGTGTCCTGATGTATTTACGTCCATCTGGGTCATATTTCCTCCAAGAGGCTAATTGAGTCTATCATTCTTGGGCAAAACACTGAACCTGACACTGTTTTGTGTTAAGGCAGATACTCTGGCATCATCTGAAGAGCCAATTCCGAGCTGAAGTTACTTTAGATTGGGCCTGTCATCGGCGTGTGACAGGGGTCACGCTTATGTGCAGGAGCTCAATAACTATGTGTCGTTCTGTAACTATCCTCTCAACTTTCTTCGAAATATTTTTCATCTATGATGTGTGGTAACAGGTCAATTAAAGAAAAACCTCGCGTACAGGTTTATTAACAGACCACATCTAATCATTGGAGATCTGACAGCATGAATTTCATGGATACAAGCCATATCAGCTGTAGGCGTGACTACTGACAACAGCAGCTGCGTACAGTCTAGGATACTGTGCCTGTCCTTATAGCCAAAGTAAATGAGCCAGCAATGTATTAATAGCCCATTTGGTTGTCAGGAGAATTGAATGAGATCAAATTTAGTTTACAGTGGCTTCAGTAAGTTTTGAGGCCTCCTTACTTTCTCCACGTTTTGTTGTGTTGTAGAGATCATTTATATTTGATTAAAAGGATTGTTATGTCGTCAGTCTACAAATAATACACAGTAATTATATAGCAAAAAACATGTGAACAGATATTTGTGCCAGAGCAAAAACCAGGCACTGGCATCCAGATAACTCCATGTTCAAGAGGAAAATTTGTCACAGCATTTATCTGCGGTAAGTGATTCAAAATGATGACCGAGAACATAATCACCACTCTAAAAGAGCTTTTGAGTGTCTCTGCAGAGATGGGAGAACCTGGCATAAAATCAATCCAACCTTTATGGTAAAGTGGCTAGACGAAATTCACTCCTGAGTAAAAACCCTACAACATACGGCCTGAAGAAAAAATAAAACTCTAGTCTGATGAGGCCAAAATCAATATTAATATTTGGTCTGAATGTGTCCTGCTACACCTGACAAAAACAAGGTAACACTGATAAAATGTCCTATGGGAAGAACGGGAGACACTGCCCAAATCCAACTGTGCCAAGCTGATTGACGCATGCCGGTCAGGTCCTGAATGTCTGGTGCCGATTGTCAAGGCCAGCCAGAGGTAGGGGTCTCTGTGACAATACTCAAGAAGACTCAAAGCTGCGGTTAATGCCAAGGTGCTTCTACTAAGTATTGAATAAAGGGTCTGAATATTTATATACAATAGATATTTGTGTTTACTTTCAATACAGTTCAACTTTTTTTTAATTGTGTTTTTGCATTGTCATTTGTCATTTTGTGTAGATTGATGGAAAAATAAATACAGTCTATAACATTATAACATTTTGATAATGTGATATGGTCTGAATACTTTCTGAAGCCATCATTCACTTGTTGGACGGACTGGTCTATATTGATTTCAACACCTGACCCAGGCAGAGCTTTTAAATAGACGTAAAGTTGCGTAATGTCAGAACTACACAATGCAGTCCAACTTGAAAGATGAAGTAAAGCTCAGCCCTGTACGTTTTATTGTTTAATCCGGGTTGCTTTCTTGATGTCTTTTAGTCGACTGGTTACCAACCTGTTACCAACTTTGCTGTTACTGAAACACGTACTTAATTTTTCCTTTTACCCTCATTAGCTTTCAAGACCATGGTCATAAAAGTCTAAAGAACACAATTTGATTAGAGCCCCAGGGATTCTAGTACACCTAGTTGGGACCCACAGTGTCAATAGATTTTAAAAACATAAATCATATGAATAAATACTTTCAGTACTAAGTTCTTGACATTTGACAAGGTCAGGGTACTCCCCAAGGAGAGAAGTTTTTCCACGAGCAAAAGAAACATGACCAGATCAGAAGATATCTGGCCCCATTTTAGTTTTTCACAAAACATGAATCCTGTCACCGCGGTCCAGAGTTAAATTACTGGATCAGGACGAACCCGGCCCGTTGGGCCCTGTGGTACCACCCCTCTGGGGAGGAGCTTGATACCCTTTTCTGACCCTGCTGCGGAGCCAACGCTCGTTTAAAAAACGTAAAAGGCAATATGGCAGCCAGGCGGTGTGAGAAAATGTCCTGCCCCTTATGTGGAATTACCTTCAACCAGCCTGTGGCGCTCTGCTGCAGACACAGGTTCTGTAAAGCCAGCCTATTGGATAGCTGAAGAACTCACCGTGAGGCCAATTTTAACTTCTGCCCTCTGCGTTGGAGACAATCCTCCATGAATGAGATTGTGCTAAACACTAAACCGGAGAAGACCCGTGAGTCTTTCAGGGATGAAATGAGCGGCAACGACCCGACGGCATGTGGGGAACACGGAGAGAAGCTCACCCTCTTCTGTCTGGAGGATTTGCAGCCAATCTGTGTTGCATGCCAGACATCGGCAGCACATAGGGGCCACAGGCTCTACCCCATTAGGGAAGGTGCTCATGACTGTAAGGTAGGTGAGAACAGCTGTGCTTGTCTTCACTGGGATATTACTGGTTATCACTAGCACTGAATGTGCATTTCGTCACTCATTACTTCAGCCTGTACTTGCCAGAGAGGAAACACAACTTTAATTGAATTATAATTTGTCCAGTCTCATCTACCCATCTTTGGCTGTTTCATCTTACACCCAACTTGCCACCTACATGGGTTTCTTGAACAGTCTTCCCCAGCAAGACGTCTTGATTGAAAGGGAATATATAT